GACCGTCTCGCCGCTAACGAGTGCCCCCCCCCCCTTTTCTCTGCTCACGCATTACCACCCGCCCCGCGTCTCCACGACCCGTCCAATAGTTTGGGAACCAGTAGTGCGATGCGGCCGTAGAGCCGTCCTTGGAAACTGCACAAGATGACCCTTGCCTCTCATCCTCTCGGACTGAGAAAGGGGGGTAAGCGGTGGACAACGCAGTGTCACTGTCAAAAGAAAGACGCGTCCAATACTGAATGAGATTGTAAGACACAACCACTCTAAAAAACTGATCTTCCCAGTGATCTCCTTTCCAAGAAAGTGGAAAAATTAGATTACGAACCTTTGTTAAAAATATATGAAATGCATGCAATTGTAATCCTTTGTGAAGTAAGATGTCTGTTGTCAAATAACTTTCTCTATGCATTCAAGCAATGGAACTTATCAAAAACTCTGTTCAAAATTTCGTGAATAATTAAGTGACGAGGCTCAGAGAAAAGTTTACTTAAACAGCAATTCGTTATAAATTCTAAACTTTAATGATAAAAAATTGATGACCATATCACTCACCTTATTTATCAATGATAAATTGGGCGTATTAATTTTTCCCCTGGTCCTTCTAATTTCTACGCCACTTTTTGTAAGCCATTTACCTGTAGTATTGTATTCTAAAATATACATATATATTCTTGTTTGTCCATGACTGACATGACGATCAGAGGGCCTCTTATCTGATTACTTGTTATACCTACAAAAACAGTAGGCCTATGCATGACTTTAACAATTTTCCCTTCTTGTACTTTGACAGTCGGTGTTGATATTTTGTTGCTTTCCATCTGGTTCCCTGCTTTTTTTTGTCAAAGTGACATCGACAAAAAAAGCGTTTCTTCGACTTCTACGTACGGTTTTGTTAATTATTGTGTAATTATCATTATACTAGTTTTTATTGTTTATTTTTTTAAAACGTTTGACTTTCCTCTCTGAAAAGTGTCCAAACTTCATTATAAAATCGACTTCTAATGGAAATAAACTAAATTTTTCATCGTATAACATTCAGAAAAACAACCACAATATTGTTATGTCCTTCCTTTGTGTTAACAGTGTATTGGTGAAAAATTTGTAACCATGATTTACCGGGTGTCCCGGCTCTTACATGCCAGTATGGTGTGTTGCATTAGCACAAGCACCGCCCGCAGACGCTGTCGGGAGCGCGCAGGATTTCGCGCATCCCCGCGGACCCGCGATCCTCCCCGTCGGACCGCGGGGGATGCGCGAAATCCTGCAGCGGGGGTGCTCGCGGTTCCGCGCGGGATGCGCAAAACCCTGCGCGTTCCCGACAACGCCTGCGAGCCAGAGCGTGCAACCCACCATACTGGCATGTAAGAGCCGGGACACCCGGTAGCATGTGTCCCAATTATTGACGAGGTAAATACACATTGGAATTTTTGTGCATCCGTCATTTTCCTTGTTTCTTGCTATTTCTATATGTGGATTTTCCACGGGTTATTTTAATCAGCCTATTTCAAGGATCGGTTTCGTGAGGGACCAACTAAGTAATTGCCTTGGGAATTACGCCAGCTCCGTCTCGTTATGTAATACGAACTATACTTACTTCTATGTTACCGCGTTGAACTTGCCGGGAATCGGCAATC